ACAACTGGTCATTTGGTTTAGAGGATTGGCTTTTGTGTTTTAGCATTTGAGAAAAACTGTAACAGAGATATCCCCTCATGATTTGCGCGCCAATGTCATACGGATCATCCAAGTACGCTGGCATTGTCTTTGGAGAAATTGTAGTTGGAGGGGCGGTGCTCATATAGGGCTGGCTTACGCAGAAACCTCGTCTTAACCAAGAACAAAAACTGCTCAGAGCAGTTTTGAGACTTAGCGTAAATTGCCATGGCAGCATGCCTCGACTAAAACCTACCCACCTTTCGTAATACAGGTTAATCGCAAAGTTACACCATGCGTCATCAAGTTACTCGCAAAGTTACCCCGATAAGCCAGTAAACCCGCTTCGTAGTACAGGCCAGTCTTGTGCAGTGCTTGGTAAGTTTATAGTAGGCTATTTGTGTACTTTCTCTGTATCTAAATTATCCTATAAGCATGCTCTCAAACAACATTTCTGAATAAAACCCAGCACTCTACTTCTGAAAAAAGGGTTTTTAGAAATGTGTTTTGAATTTATTACGGCAGTGTGTAACAGAGTGAAACAGTGTACGATCATTGAAAGCCTGTGTTAGTGACATGAGAACAAAATAACATTTTTATCAATTTGTTTATAGTTTTGGCTGAAATATTTCATTTTCCAAAATAACTGGGGTGTTCTGCAAATTGGGTATGGTGTTTGGTTAATTGTGTGAGGTGTTTAGAAAAAAAGGAGCCCTGTTTTCAAAATTTTGTGTAAACAATTGAAAAAACTGTAAACATAATGACTCAAAATTGTTCACACATGTTTCTAAACATGAGTAGAACCCAGAGTGACTAGAACATAGAATACATGCAGGATGAGAGCACAAGTACTATAGGTGAGTTGAATTTCGACACCAACATACAACATATAGTCTTTTGGTTTCCAAAACAGCTCAACAAGCAAAAGACCACATCCACAGTAAATGTTTCTCTACATGCCAGCAACAGTTTTGACTGGTAATGTTTTCAATTATTTGCTGTAGTGTGTAATGACTACTCAGTAGTCTTTGTGTATCAATTGACTTGATGTGTGATCTGAAAGCAGTGTTTGTTTTTGAGCAAAGATAATATAGTTTTGAGAAGATTGTTTGATGTTGCAAGAGGGGTCAATGGTTTTGTGAGTGTAGCTTGAGTTTTAGGGTTTGTGCTTAATGTTTTGAGAAAAGGAGAGGAGATTTTAGGAAATGTGTTTTAGCAATTCAGAAAAACTGTATCAAAATAATATTAGGGATGAATATTTGATTGAAACAAGTATTTGTTATGAATAATGTGTTCTTTCCAAAGCTGACTGCCATCTGATCATCCAAAACTGCAAACTGTCACTCTGGGTTGCAAAGAACTGCTTCTGTGCACCCTGCATGTGGGTCTAACCTATATTACTGTGAGTACAGTCAATTTTGCCTAAGCAAAAACTATGTATGAAGCTCTCATAAGCTGTTTCAGGGGCTGCAACCTTCCAAAGCTGCAGTTAAAGACCTAATGCAGTAAGGCTGTCCCATTTCAAAGGCTCCTTCAAATGTGGCCTAGAAATACGTCATTCTTTTCCTGGATTGTGAAAGTTCCTCCCAATGGATCATTTGGAGCCGAACCTATCTCAAGATTCATTGCATGGATTTTTAGAAGGACACCGTCTACAAAAGCTATGCCTTTGAAGGACGCAGCCCAGGAATTGGGACACAGACTCCCAGTGAAGCTTGGCATCCGGGTGACCTCTAAAAACATGTAACCAAAGCATATTCTTGTATCCCTAGCTAGTTTTGCGTTAGTCTACCATATTAACATAAACTAGCACGTGGGTGGTTGTTGTTGTTTCATTTTTAACTTTTATTTTTACGTGTGTACTTGTCTGTCCTTGTTCATTGACAGCGTGAGTGTTACCGAAAGCTGCGGGCGCGAGTGGCGTTTCTGTCTGCGTCCTTCGCATCAAACACCCGCGGGTAATATTATCGAACATCGGTAACATTAACTCTAAAAGGACAGTTGCTCCTGAGCTTTGCTCGGTCGCCGGTCCGGGCCGGGAGGACATTTTCCACTTTTTTTCCCGCTCCGGCATTAGCCTGCTTTGAAAGGGTTTTTTTTTTGTGGTTTTTTGGCCTCCCTAGAGCAACTTTGCTTTA